TTTGATCACCCAAAGTCACAATTCTGTCACTAGAGCTATTACTACTAAAATTACATTCCATGTATTCAGTTTTAGTTCTACTTAAACGAAGGCCTTTAAACTCCAATGTAGACCTCCATAATTCAAGTTTTTTCCTGGGCTTTTTCTCTCAGTTTATCCACGAGAAGGATAAGACATACAATTTTGTCATCAGCAAAAAGCATACCCCAGGGTACATCCTCCTGTAGATGTCTAGTAAGACCATCCATAACTAAAGCAAAAGGATAAGGGCTTAAAGCCGATTCCTGATGTAATTCAACAGAAATAGGAAAATATTTGGTCAATCCTCCTTCAGTTTGAACACAAGTAACAGCTCTAGCATACATATCTTTAATGACTTAAATATAAGTTATATCAACACCTTTCTTCTCGATGACTCTCCAAAGGATATCTCTTGGAACCTTATCGTAAGCCTTTTCTAAATCAATAAAAATCAAATGTAGATCCTCCTTATTATCTTTGAATATGATATAGTTGATCATGGTAGTGAATTTTTATCGTCCTCGCCCCAAGTGATATGCAGAGTAAGGATTTCTCAAATCACACCCAAGGAATAGAGTGTCAAGAAGGAGAGAGAACATGGGAAGAAAACTAAGCAAGATGAGAAACACCGAAGAAGGTTTTTTTGTGGCTCCAAGGAGTAGAAAATTAGAATCCGATTTATATTTAATACCCCTATTGATAAGGATTGGTTTCCACAAAATGATATGTTTAGGCATATCTCATCCCTAGACCTCTGGACCCATGGATGACTTTAATAATCATATTCCAACTAAAGTTGGAGTCATGGAGAGGTCTTCCCATGCTAAAATCTTTTACTGGAAACCTCCTTAACTTCTTTTTTACTAATGCGATGACAAAAATGAAACGTTTTATTATTATTCACGATATTAAGATCACGAAGGTCGATCGTATTTTCAGAAACTTTATTAAAAAGTTTATCAAAGTAACTCACCCACCTATATTGAATATCTTTTTCTAAGTACTTTTTGATTTTTATCTTTAATATACTTTACTTGAGTTAAATCTTTAATTTTCTTTTCTCTTTGTTTGGCTAGTTTATACATATATTTTTCACCCTCCTTAGTATCTAATCTATTATAAAGATCATTAAAAGCAGAATTTTTAGCATCACAGATTGTTCTTTTAGACTCCCTGC